CACGTCCAGAGCTCCCAGAGAGGATTCCAGCCCAGCCCCAATGAGCAGCCCCAGACACCGCGGCCGCTGAGGGAGAAGTGAAGCCCCAGGTGGGAGCGAGGGAGGGAGGGAGAAGCAGACGCCGCGATTTTGGGGCTTCGCACCCTCCCTCCACTTCCTCCCCGGCAGCTACCAGGGCCCGGCCGGGGCAGGAAAGGAAACAGAAGGTTCCTGGTTTTGGTCATTGTGAACATCTGTGTTTGGCAGAGGGCAGCTCAGCCTCGGGGCGCTGCGGCAGAGCGCCGGCTGCACAAAAAGCTTTGTGTGCAAAGGGCCCTGGAGCGATCCCTGTGCCACACTGGGACGGAGGGGAAGGGCCAGACTGGGGAGAAATGGGGAAAATTGGGGGGAAACCAAAAATTGCGGCAACAGGGGAGGAGTTTGGAGGAAATGGTCAAGATTTGATAAAAAGGGCAGGAACCAGGGGGAAGGGTCAGAGAATTCTGTGATACCTGGGAACACAGAAGAAAGGACTCGGGACCACAACCGCCATCAATACCATAAGCAGCACCACCACCACCACAACTACTACTGTAACATTTGGCACAGAAATAGGTGGCGGAATCCTTGTCCTTGAGGTTGTTCATGGTCAGCGTCACCGAGCTCTGCCCGTTGTCCCTGGAGATCCTCAACCGGACCTTGACCGAGGGCGCGTAGTCGGTGTAACCTCCAGTGTAGTAGATCCTTGCGATGTATTGCAACCCCTGCCCGGGTCTCTGGCGGATCCAGAACATGTCAACACTCCCGAAATCAAACCCGGACGCTCGGCAGAGGAGGTGCAGGGACCCCCCGGGGGGCTGGAGGTCCCACCCGCACTCCAGCAGGGTCATGGCCGCCCAGAGCCCTGCAGGACAAAGGGGAGATGGGGATGAAGGAAAACATCACCCAAATTCTTGCATGCAGATCCTGATGTTGCCCAAAAATTGGGACCCTTGGACCTCACCATCTTCCTCCTGCAACTCCGGCCAGTCATCCCGGGTGGATCCCACACCCTTTTTCTGGAATGGCAGCGCCAACTTTGACCGTACAGCCAATCCATCCCCTCATCCCCATCTCCCCTTTGTCCCGCAGGGCTCCGGGCGGCCGTGACCCTGCTGGAGTGCGGGGGGGAACTCCAGCCTCGCGGGGGGTCCCTGCACCTCTTCTGCCGAGGGTCCGGGTTCAGTTTCAGCAATTTTGCCATGAACTGGGTGCGCCAGAGCCACGGGCAGGGGCTGGAATTCGTGACGTACATAAACATTGGTGGAGCCACTTACTACGCGCCATCGGTCAAGGGCCGGTTCACGATCTACCAGGACAACGGGCAGAGCTCGGTGACGCTGACCATGAACAACCTCAAGGTCAACGACTCCGGATCCTTTTTCTGTGCCAGGGCTGCTGATGGTTATGGTGCTGCTGCTAATAGTGACGCTGCCCAGGATGGTCTCAAGTTCTTGCCTTTTATCCCACTCCCATCATTGAGTCCCCAGAGTTCTGCTTTTCATCCCAAACCTCACCCATTGACCCAGCCCTTGACCCTTTGTCTCCATTTGCCACAATGGTCAGCACTGACCCGAAACCCTCCCCTGCTCCTGCCCCAAAACTCAACCATTGGCCCCAAACCTTCACCCCTGGGCTCCAGTTCAGGCCTGCTCCAACCAGGTCTTGGGAGCTGGGGGAGATTTGGGTGGAATGGGAAAAACTGGGAGAAATTCGGGGGTTGGGGCAGCAGGGGCAGAGTTTGGGGTAAAATGGCCGAGATTTGATGAAAAGGGCTGAGATTTGGTATAGAGATCAGAGGAATATGGGATATTTGGGAACAAAGTGGAGGTATTTGGGACCAAGACCAGAACCAGCAATAAATGCCACACCAAGAGTACCATCACTATAGGCACAACCACCATCAACGCATTTGGCACAGAAATAGGATCCGGAATCCTCGTCCTTGAGGTTGTTCATGGTCAGCGTCACCGAGCTCTGCCCGTTGTCCCTGGAGATCCTGAACCGGCCCTTGAACGATGGTGTATAGGCAATGCTGCCACCATTGTCCTTGATCCCTGCCACGAATTCCAGCCTCTGCCCAGGTCTCTGGCGCACCCAGAACATGGAGAAACTCCCGAAATTTAACCCGGACCCTCGGCAGAGGAGGAGCAGGGACCCCCCGGGGGGCTGGAGGTCCCCCCCACACTCCAGCAGGGTCACGGCCGCCCGGAGCCCTGCGGGACAAAGGGGAGATGGGCACCAGGCCCAGCTGTGCCATTCTCATTCCCAGCACAGAGTCAGACACCATTCCCTCTCTCTCTCTGTGTCTCTCTCTCTCCCTCTCTCTCTCTGTTTCTCTCTTTCTGTCACAGGATTTTTCCTGGAGCAGCACAGGGAGAAGATGAAGAGGAAACAATTCCCATCTCTCCTCGCTGCTCCTGTTGTTTCTGCGCATGTTGGAATGTGTCGGGGGGATTGTTCCCCTGCAGGGATTCATCATTATGGTTCTGCTGCAGATTGTTTTGTTTCCTTGGCCAATGGGCTCCAAGCCATGACCTGGCTCTGTCAAACTCTCGCGGGAATTCTTTAAGATTTTTCATGTCTTTTGTACGGAATTCTTTTAGTATCTCTTTAGTATGGATGTAATATAGCATTAATGAGATATAATATAGTATTTATGAGATATAATATTGCATTAATGAGATGTTATATAGAATAATGAGATATAATATAGCATTAATGAGATGTAATATAGTAATAATGGGATATAATATAGAATAAATGAGATATAATATAATATTAATGAGATATAATATAGCATTAATGAGATGTAATATACCATTAAGGAGATGTAATATAGTATTAAAGAGATGTAATATAGTATTAATGAGATATAATATATTACTAATGAGATGTAATATAGTAATAATGAGATATAATATTGTATTAATGTAATAAAATAGAATAATAATGTAATATAGTAGAGATTTAATAGAGCAATCGTTCAGCATTCTGACTCCTGGAGTCAGATGCCGTGACCCTGCTGGAGTGCGGGGGGCACCTCCAGCCCCCCGGGGGTTCCGTGCGCCGCCTCTGCCGAGGGTCCGGGCTCAGTTTTGGGAATTTTGGGATGCAGTGGGTCCGCCAGAGAGCCGGGCAGGTGACGAAATGGCTGGGGGGGATTAAGAGCGATGGTTCCAGCACCGGCTACGCACCCTCAGTCAAGGGCCAGTTCAGGATCTCCAGGGACAACGGGCAGAGCTCGGTGACGCTGACCATGAACAACCTCAAGGACGAGGATTCTGCCACCTATTTCTGTGCCAAATCTGCTAATGTTTGGTACGATGCTGCTGATGTTGCTTATGGTTTTGAACCTGCCGCCCCATGGCTGTGTCCCCCCCAGTCCCGGATCCCCAGACCCTGCCCCCAAATCCCAGCGCTCGTCCCCGCTCTCGGTGACTGAATTCGTGTCCCCAGCCCCGGGTCCAGTGCTGACCTTTGGGGCAGAGTTTCGGGGAAGATCAATGGCCAAGGGTTGGGGTTTGGGGCCGGAGAGGGGAAAGGGAAATGGAGAAATGGTCACGGGCTGGGTCAGGGGCTGGGAGCTGGGGAAGGGTCTGGGGAACGGGGACAGGTAGGGACACAGTGATGGGGAAGGGGTCAATACAGCAGGCATCGTTATCACCAGCATAAGTAGCAAAACCCTTGGCGCAGCAATAGGATCTGGAATCCTCGTCCTTGAGGTTGTTCATGGTCAGCGTCACCGAGCTCTGCCCGATGTGCCTGCAGATCGTGAACCGGCCCTTGAATGATGATGCATAGAAAGTACTGCCACTGCTGTGGACACTCGCGAGCCGCTCCAGATCCTGCCCGGGTCTCTGGGGGATCCAAAACATTCCATAATCCCCAAAACTCATCCTAAACCCTCGGCAGAGGAGGTGCAGGGACCCCCCGGGGGGCTGGAGGTCCCCCCAGCACTCCAGCAGGGTCACGGCCGCCAGGAGCCCTGCGGGACGAAGGGCAGATGGGGATGAGGCCAAAGCTCAACCCTTGACCCAAATCCTGACTCTGGGCCCCAAATTGGGACCTTTGGAGTTCATCATCCTCCTCCCAGATGGGTCCTGCCCCTTTTTCTAGCTGGCCTTGCCCACTTTGAGGCCCTCGACTAATCAGGTTCCCAATCCCCATCTTTCCTTTGTCCCGCAGGGCTCCGGGCGGCCGTGACCCTGCTGGAGTGCTGGGGGGAACTCCAGCCCCCTGCGGGGTCCCTTCGCCTCCTCTGCCGAGGGTCCAGGTTCAATTTCGGAAGCTACGACATGAACTGGGTGTGCCAGAGACCCAGGCAGGCGCTGTAGTGGCTCGCGAGTATCAGCTACAATGTTGGTTTGACCGGGTACGTGCCATCGGTGCAGGGCCGGTTCAGGATCTCCAGGGACAACGGGCAGAGCTCGGTGACGCTGACCATGAACAACCTCAAGGACGAGGATTCCGCCGTTTATTTCTGTGCCAAGTGTGTTGATGATCGTGCTGGTTGGGAGAATGTTGCCTGTCGTTTTGTCCCCATCCCCATGGCTGTTTCCCTCATGTCCCCATTCCCCAGACCCTTCCCCCAGTCCCCAGCCCCTGACCCCATTCCTTTCCCCGTGTCCCAGCTCTGAACTGGTTTTGCCCCAATCTCAGCTCTTGGCCCCAAACCTCAGCTCTGGGCTCCACGTCCCAACCAAATTCCCCAAAACTGACGAGGATGTCCCAGATCCGGGCCCACCGTGTCAATCTGCCTTTGCTTTGTGTGATTGGCCACAAACCTCTCGCGGTGAGCTGCGCCATTGAATTCTGTGTGTGCTGCCGGGGCCGTGAGCCGCCGGCACCACCCCATGGCCACAGCCCGGTTAGGAGAGCGATGGTGGGAAACCAAACGGCTCCAGAGGGGTCCCCACAGCCCCGTCCCGGTGGGGATTGGGACAGCGACCCCCGGGCGGGGATGGGCCCACAGCTGAGGTTTAGGTGAATTGTTGGGGGTTTGGGGAGAGGTGGGGACACTGAGATGGGTGAGTGGATCCACCACTGGGGTCTTCACCATAAGCAGCAGCATTCCAGGTATAAGCATCAGCACCCTTGGCACAGAAATAGGATCTGGAATCCTCGTCCTTGAGGTTGTTCTTGGTCAGCGTCACCGAGCTCTGCCCGTTGTCCCTGGAGATTGTGACCTGGCCTTTGACCGATGGCGCGTCATAGGTGTAGCCACCATTGCTGTAGATGCGCGTGAACCATTCCAGCCCCTGGCCCGGTCTCTGGCGCACCCAGTACATGGGGTAACTCCCAAAACTGAACCCGGAGCCTCGGCAGAGGAGGCGCAGGGAACCCCCGGGGGGCTGGAGGTGCCCCCCGCACTCCAGCAGGGTCACGGCCACCCGGAGCCCTGCGGGACAAAGGGGAGATCGGGATGAGAAACCTGATTGGCTGTGGGCCTGCAGTGGGTGTGGCCAGCTGGAAAAAGGGATGACACCCACCTGGGAGGGTGACCAGGAGCAGGAGGAGAAGAACAAATTGTCACAACCTGGGCCCAACAACTGGGACTTTGGGGCCAAGGGTTGAGCTTTGGCCATCCCCATCTCTGTCTGGATGGGTTGGAGAAATGCGGCACGCGATATGAGTGATCAGCAAGTCTCAAATCTTTATTGGTAGGCACGCATCTTTATATTGGTGTTAATGAGGCTCATGCATATTGCAAAGGCAAGCTCACCATTGGTCGGTTACTCATCAGCCAACTGCGCCTCCTTCTGCATTCTTGTGGATATTTTATTTAAACTTCTCTTCGTATTCCTTCCAAAGATGCTGTCCCCTATCCTGCTGTGGCACCAAGGGCACAATGTCCTTGCCTGTCATTGGACACTGGCTGCTGGCTCCTGTACTTGTCCCTTTCAAGCTTAACCAGCGGCATTATGTCGACGTGACCTTTAACAGCCAACCAGCTGTCCACAAAGCTCTCCACACTTCTCCCCTTTGTCCCACAGGGCTCTGGGCGGCCGTGACCCTGCTGGAGTGCGGGGGGGACCTCCAGCCCCCCCGGGGGTCCCTGCGCCTCCTCTGCCGAGGGTCCGGGTTCAGTTTCGGTGGTTTTCACATGAGCTGGTATCGGAAGAGACCCGGGCAGGGGCTGGAAGCAGTCGCAAGTGTCAGCAACGATGGTGGCAGCACCAGGTACGCGGATTCAGTCAAGGGCCTGTTCACAATCTCCAGGGACAACGGGCAGAGCTCGGTGACGCTGACCATGAACAACCTCAAGGATGAGGATTCCGGATACTATTTCTGTGGCAGAAGTGTTGTTGGTAGTGCTGGTTGGAACGCTGCTGCAGGTATTGGTCACTTTCATGTTTCGGTTGCATTTGGCTGTGTTCCTGTTCCCTGGTCCCCACCTATCTCCATTCCCTGGACCCTTCCCCAAAACCCCAAGCCTGGACCCCATTGCTGTCCCCATGTCCTAATCTTGGAGTGGTTCGGCCTGAAATCCGCTCTCCGCACCTTACCACAAAGTTGACTCAAACCTTAACCCTTGGCTTGAAGTATCCACTTTTATAACAATGTTTTGGGGCACAAAGTGGAGATTTGGGTCAGGAGTTGTGGTTTGGGGTCAGCGGGTGAGAACTGGGGCCGAGGCAGAGCAAGGTTGGGATCAATGGCCAAGGGCTGGATGTGGGCTGGGGGTTTGGGGGAAGGGTCTGGGCAACGGAGACAGGGGGGACACAGAGAGGGGGATGGGGACAGCAAGGCCATCGTCAATAGGATGAGCACTTTCAGCCCAAGCAGCACCAGCACTCTTGGTACAGACATAGGTGGCGGAATCCTCGTCCTTGAGGTTGTTCATGGTCAGCGTCACCGAGCTCTGCCCGTTGTCCCTGGAGATCCTGAACTGGCCCTTGACCGATGGATTGTAGAATGTGGTGCCACCAGTGTTGTAGATGCCTGCAACATATTCCAAACCCTGCCTGGGTCTCTGGCAGATCCAGTACATTCCATAACTCCCAAAATTTAACCCGGACCCTCAGCACAGCAACGTCAGGGACCCCCCGGGGGGCTGGTGGTCCCCCCTGCCCTCCAGCAGGGTCACGGCCGCCCGGAGCCCTGCGGGACAGAGGGGAGATGGGGATGAGAGCATAGCTCAGCATTGACCCAAGTCCTGACTCTGGGCCCCATATTGGGATTCTTGGAGTTCATCATCCTCCTCCCAGGAGTGTTCTACCCCTTTGTCCAGCTGGCCACGCCCACTTAAAAGCCCTACACCAATCAGACTTTCGATTTCCATCATCTCCCTTTTGTCCCACCGGGCTCCGGCCGGCTGAGACCCTGGTGGAGTGCGGGGCAGACCTCCAGCCCCCCGGGGGGTCCCTGCGCCTCCTCTGCCAACGGTCCGGGTTCAGTTTTGGACGAACCAGTCTGATGTGGATCCGCCAGAGACCTGGGCAGGGCCTGGAATACATTGCAGGGATTGACTATGATGGAGACACCAGATACCCGTCATCGTTCAGCGGCCGAGTCAGCATCTCCAGGGACAACGGGCAGAGCTCGGTGACGCTGACCATGAACAACCACAAGGATGAGGATTCCGGATCCTATTTCTGTGCCAAAACTCCTGAGGGTTATAATGCTGTTGTTGCTGATCGTACTGACTCTGTTGGTGCTGGTTATGGAGCATTTAGCCCCGCCCCCTTTGTTGCATCCCTAATTGTCCTGAAACCCCAGTCCCTCCCCCATGATACCAGCCCTCGTCCCCGTTCTCGGTGACTGAATTCGTGTCCCCAGCCCCGGCCCAACGCTGACCTTTGGGGCAGAGTTTGGGGGAAGATCAACGGCCAAGGGTTGGGGTTTGGGGCTGGAGAGGGGAAAGGGAAATGGAGAAATTGTCATGGGCTGGGTCATGGGCTGGGAGCTGGGCAAGGGTCTGGGGAATGGGGACAGGGGGGGATGCAGTGATGAGGGTGAGACCAGGACTTCGCAGGTCCCCATGAGCAGCAGCACCAGGACCACCAGTATTGTAAGATTTCCCGCAGAAATAGACGGCGGAATCCTCGTCCTTGAGGTTATTCATGGTCAGTGTCACTGAGCTCTGCCCGTTGTCCCTGGAGATCCTGAACCGGCCCTGCACCGATGGCGCGTACCAGGTGCTGCCACCATTGCTGGTGATACTTGCGAGCCATTCCAGTGCATTCTTTGGTGTCTGTCGATACCAGCCCATCCCAAAACTCCCAAAATCGAACCCGGACCCTCGGCAGAGGAGGCGCAGGGACCCCCCCGGGTGGCTGGAGGTCCCCCCCACACTCTAGCAGGGTCACGGCCGCCCAGAGCCCTGCGGGACAAAGGGGAGATGGGGATGAGAAACCTGATTGGCTGAGGACCCAAAGTGGGTGTGGCCAGCTGGAGAAAGGGACGGGACCCACCTGGGAGGGTGACCAGGAGCAGGAGGAGAAAAACAAATTGTCACATCCTGAGGCCGATAGTTGGGACATTAGGGTCAAGGGTTGATCTTTGGCCTCATCCCCATCTCCCCTTTGTCCTGCAGGGCTCCGGGGGGCCGTGAACCTGCTTGAGTGCGGGGGAGACCTCCAGCCCCCCAGGGGGTCCCTGACATTGCTGTGCCGAGGGTCCGGGTTCAGTTTCAGCAGTTCTGACCTGCTCTGAGTCTGACAGAGACCCAGGCAGGGGCTGGAGTTGCTCGCGGTGATCAGCACTGCTGCTTACCCCTACTATGCGCCGTGAGTGCAGGGCCGGGTCACGATCTCCATGGACAACGGGCAGAGCTCAGTGATGCTCACCATGAACAACCTCAAGGACGAGGATTCTGCCATCTATTTCTGCGCGAAGTGTTATTTTGCTGGTTGTAATTATGAAGCTTATGGTATTGGTGCCGGTTTCAGGCCGGCCTTTGTTGTTGGGTCCCCCGATGTCCCCAACCCTCTGACCATTCTCCCAAACCTCACCCATTGACTCAGATCTTCACCCTTTGTCCTCATTTGCACCAATGGTCAGCACTGACCCCAAACCCTCCCCTGCTCCTGCCCCAAATGTCAACCATTGGCCCCAAACATTCACCCCTGGCCTCCAGTTCAGGCCTCCTCCAATCAGGGCCCAGGGAGCTCGGGGAGATTTGGGTGAAATGGGCAAAACTGGGGGAAAGTGTAGGGTTGAGGCAGCAGGGGCGGAGTTTGGGGGAAACTCTTTAACACTTGAGGAGAAAAGCTGGGCTCTGGAGGAAGGATCACTGGGAGTGGAGACATCGGGTGACCATCCTAGGGCTGGGGCCACTGCCGGAATTGTCACTAAAAGCAGCAACACCACCACCATAACTACTACTAGCGCATTTGGTGCAGAAATAAATGGTGGAATCCTCGTCCTTGAGGTTGTTCATGGTCAGCGTCACCGAGCTCTGCCCATTGTCCCTGGAGATTCTGAACCGGCCCTTGACCGATGGCGTGTAGTAGGTGCAACCACCAGTGTTGCTGATACTGGCGATGTATTCCAGCGTCTGCCCGGGTCTCTGGCGCATCCAGCCCATCCCAAAACTGCCAAAATAAAACTCAGATGCGCGGCACAGAAACGTCAGGGACCCCCTGGGGGGCTGCAGGTCCCCCCGCACTCCAGCAGGGTCACGGCCGCCCGGAGCCCTGCGGGACAAAGGGGAGATGGGGATGGGGCCAAAGCTCAACCCTTGACCCAAATCCTGACTCTGGGCCCCAAACTGGGAACCATGGAGTTCATCATCCTCCACCCATGTGAGTCCTGCTCCATTTTTGAAGCATGCCATGTGAAGTTGGGCACTCTTGACCAATCAGGTTTCCCGTCCCCATCTCTCCTTTGTCCCGCAGGGCTCCGGGTGGCCGTGACTCTGCTGGAGTGCGGGGGGGACCTCCAGCCCCCCGGGGGGTCCCCGCACCTCCTCTGCCGATGGTCCGGGTAAAGTTTTGGCAGTTCAACCATGCTCTGGATCCGCCAGAGACCCCGACAGGCCCTGGAATGGCTCGTGGGGATCACCAGTGGTGGCACCACCGCCTACGCGCCGTCTGTCAAGGGCCGGTTCAGGATGTCCAGGGACAACGGGCAGAGCTCGGTTCCGCTGACCATGAACAACCTCAAGGACGAGGATTCCGGATCCTATTTCTGCGCCAAATCTGTTGACGTTGGTACTGGCTGGGAGACTGTTGCCTATCGTGTTGACCCCATGTCCTTTAGCAGAGTCCACAGAGATTGCGAGAGCTCCATGCAGGATTGAGATGTAACAGCTGGAACTGGTCAGTCATGATGGAACAGCAAAATAATCTCCTGTCTTCTGCCTCTCACACCAGAGCTTCTCTCTGTAACCCCATTTGTGACTTCTCCCTGACCCTCACTGTTGGACACGTTTGGATCCCCCTGTACCCTAGAAAAGGGGCTGGTTTAGCCCATCTGACAGGAGAAGAGCTGTCACTGCAACCCCTCACAGATCCCTCAATGAACCATGGCTGTGGAACCACCAGGACCTCTCCTGCTCCTCTCTGTCTGTCTGATTCTGCCCCAGCCAAAGGCGCCCCAGCGGATGAGCAAAGAGCTGGAATCCTGAGAGCTGAGAATCACGAAAGAGCTGAAATCCTGAGAGAGTTGATAATCACGAAAGAGCTGAAATCACTAAATAGCTGAAATCCTCAAGGAGCTGAGAATCACTAAAGAGCTGAAATCACTGAGCTTGCTGAGATGGTGGCATCTCTGAGCTGATTGGGTGTTGGGGCTCTCTGTCTCCAAGATTTATCCAGATTGGCCTGCATGGCTCAGGGATCAGCCCAAATCAGATATCTGGGTCTTATCAGGGTTGGGACAAGGAGACAGGAACGGGGTCAGGGCTTGGGGTTTGGGGGAGGGGCCTGGGGAATGGGGACAGGAGGGGAGCAAGGGCACGGGGATGGGGAAAAACTGATAAGCATCAGCATAAGCCCAATAATCACCATAAGCACGTTTGGCACAGAAATAAACGACGGAATACTTGTCCTTGAGGTTGTTCATGGTCAGCATCACCGAGCTCTGCCCGTTGTCCCTGGAGATCGTGAACCGGCCCTTGAATGATGGCGCGTAGTAGGTGTCAGCACCATCGTTCCTGATCACCGTGACCCACTCCAGCCCCTGCCCGGGCCTCTGGCGAGCCCATTCCATTTCAAAACTGCTGAAACTGAACCTGGACCCTCGGCAGAGGAGGCGCAGGGAGCCCCCGGGGGGCGAGAGGTCCCCCCCGCACTCCTGCAGGGTCACGGCCGCCCGGAGCCCCGCGGGAAAATGGGGAGATGATGGAAATGAGAAACCTGATTGGTCAAGGGCCCCTAAGTTTGTGTGGCCAGCTGGAAAAAGTGGTGGAATCCACCTCTGAGGAGGATGATGAACTCTAAAGATCCCAGTTTGGGGCCAAGGGTCAGGATTTGGGTCAAGGGTTCAGCTTTGACCTCATTCCCATCTCCCCTTTGTCCCACAGGGCTCCGGGCGGCCGTGACCCTGCTGGAGTGCGGGGGGGACCTCCAGCCCCCGGGGGGTCCCTGCACCTCCTCTGCCGAGGGTCCGGGTTCAGTTTCGGCAGTGATGCCATGCAATGGGCGCGCCAGAGACCCTGGCAGGGGCTGGAGTGGCTCGCAGCGAGTGGCACAGCCGTGGCAACACCGAGTACGTGCCATCAGTCCATGGCCGGTTCAGGATCTCCAGGGACACCGGGCAGAGCTCGGTGACGCTGACCATGAACAACCTCAAGGACGAGGATTCCGGATCCTATTTCTGCGCCAAATCTGCTGGTGATGATTGCAGTCCTGGTGCTAATTATGAAGAGACCTGAGTTGGATCCACCCCCATCTCAGTGTCCCCTCCTGTCCTCAACCCCCAGGTCCTTCTCCATAATCTTCGCTCTTGACCGTTTGTCCAATATCTCCCCCATTTCCACCCATGGTGACCAAAGACCCCAAACCCTGACTGGTTCTGCCCCAAACCCAACTGAGTTGGTGCAAAAATTTGCCCAATTTCACCCCAAATCTTGGCCCTTTGGGATCTTTCGGGGGTCGAGGATGAGATTTGGGGCCAAGAGTTGAGTTTGGGGCCAGACCCAGGGCAGGGTTTGGGGCCAATTGGGCAGCGTTGGGGCAAAGAGGGCGATGCTTGGACAAAGGGTCAGGGTGACGGTTTAGGGCCAATGGCTGAGTTTTGGGGCCGAAACAGGAGAGGATTTGGGGTCAGTGCTGATCATTGATGCAAATAGGGACAAAGGGTCAAGATCTGAGACAAGAGGTGAGGTTTGGGAGGAAAATCGAAAATTTGGAGATGCAATGGTAGGACAGGAGCAAAAACTAGAAGTTAGACGCTATCAACAGCATTGTCACCATGATTAGCAACAGCCCAACAACCAGCACAAAAAGCCCTGGCACAGAAATAGGATCCGGAATCCTCGTCCTTGAGGTTGTTCATGGTCAGCGTCACCGAGCTCTGCCCGTTGTCCCTGGAAATCGTGAACCGACCCTTGACCGATGGCGCGTAGCCGATGTTTCCACCAGTGTTGGTGATCTCCGCGAGCCACTCCAGCGCCTGCCCGGGTCTCTGGCGGATCCAGCCCACCCCAAATTGGCCAAAATCGAACCCGGACCCTCGGCAGAGGAGGCGCAGGGACCCCTCGGGGGGCTGGAGGTGCCCCTCGCACTCCAGCAGGGTCACGGCCGCCCGGAGCCCTGCGGGACAAAGGGGAGATGGGATTGAGAAACCTGATTGGTAAAGAGTGCCCAACTTTGCATGGCATGCTTCAAAAATCAGACAGGACCCACCTGGCAGGAGGATGATGAACTCCAAGGGTCCCAGTTTGGGCCACGGGTCAGGATTTGGGTCAAGGGTTGAGCTTTGCCCTCATCCCCATCTCCCCTTTGTCCCGCAGGGCTCCGGGCGGCCGTGACCCTGCTGGAGTGCGGGGGGGACCTCCAGCCCCCCGGGGGGTCCCTATGCCTCCTCTGCCGAGGTTCCGGGTTTGATTTTGGAAGTTTTGAAATGTGCTGGATCCGCCAGAGACCCTGGCAGGGGCTGGAAGGGGTTGGAAGTATCAGCAGTGGTGGTGGCAGCACCAACTACGCGCCATCCGCCCAGGGTCCGTTCAGGATCTCCAGGGACACCGGGCAGAGTTCGGTGACGCTGACCATGAACAACCTCAAGGACGAGGATTGTGGATCCTATTTCTGTGCCAAAGCTGCCTATAATAATTGGGGTGCTGCTGCTGGTATGGATGGTGTTCACCTCATCCCTATCGCTGTGTCCCCACCTGTCCCCATTCCCCATCCCCTTCCCCAATCCCCAGCCCCTGACCCCACTCCTGTCCCCGTGTCCCAGCTCTGGGCTGGCTCTGCCCCACATTCTCAATTCTTGGCCCGAAACCTCAGCTCTGGGCTCCAAGTCTCAGCCTAGGTCTCCAAAACTGGGTGCAAATGGTCAAGATTTGGGGAAAATGGGCCAGATTTGGTCTGTGTCTTTGACTCAGATCCACCACTGAATTTCTGGGCCAGAATGGGTCCAGTCTGGGGGCAATGGTTGGGATTTTACGGCTGAGGCCAAGCTCAGGGTGAAACCGGCACTGATTTAGGGCCAGGAGCTGAGATTTGGGGCCAGAGCAGGGCAGGGTTGGGACAAAGGGTCAGGAGTGGAGGGAAGGCTTGGGGCACAGAGAGAGGGAAAAACACATAAACAATATTTGCAGCACCCCAACCAGCACAATAACCATCAGCAACCCTGGCGCAGAAATAGGATCCAGAATCCTCGTCCTTGAGGTTGGGGCATGGGGAAAGGAATGGGGTCAGGGGCTGGGGTTTGGGGAAGGGTCTGGGACAGGTGAGGGCAAGTGGTGACACAGCGATGGGTGCGGGCCCAATAGCATAGGCATCATTATATGGAGCAGTAGCACCAGCAACCTTGGCACAGAAATAGGATCCGGAATCCTCGTCCTTGAGGTTTTTCATGGTCAGCGTCACCGAGCTCTGCCCGTTGTCCCAGGAGATCCTGAACCGGCCCTGCGCCAATGGCGCGTAGTCGGTGTAAGCACCACTGCTGATCCCTGCAAGGCATTCCAGCCCCAGCCCGGGTCTGTGGCGCACCCAGTGCATGCCAAAACCCCCAAAGAAGAACCAGAACCCTCGGCAGATGAGGCGCAGGGACCCCCCGGGGGGCTGGAGGTCCCCCCCGCACTCCAGCAGGGTCACGGCCGCCAGGAGCCCTGCGGGACAAAGGGGAGATGGGGATGAGAAACCTGATTGGTCCAGGGCTTCAAAGTGGGTTTGGCCAGCTGGAAAAGAGTCGGGACCCACTTTGGAGGAAGATGAGAAGGCCCAGGGGTCAGAATTTGGGGCCAATAATCAGAATTTTGTTCAAGGGTTGAGCTTTGGCCCCATCCCCATCTCCCCTTTGTCCCGCAGGGCTCCGGGCAGCCGTGACCCTGCTGGAGTGCGGGGGGGACCTCCAGACCCCCGGGGGGTCCCTGCGCCTCCTCTGCCCAGGGTCCGGGTTCAGTTTCGGGAGCTACGACATGAACTGGATCCGCCAGAGACCCGGGCAGGGCCTGGAGTGGCTTGCAGGGATCAGCTGGGATGGTTCCGGCACCTTCTACGCGCCATCAGTCAAGGGCCAGTCCAGGATCTCCAGGGACAACGGGCAGAGCTCGTTGACGCTGACCATGAACAACCTCAAGGACGAGGATTCCGGATCTTATTTCTGTGCCAAAAGTGCTTATGCTGGTTATGTGGGTCCTGGTGCTAATTTAGGTGACATCCATGGTGGATCCAAGCCCCCATCTCAGTGTCCTTTCCTGTCCCCAATCCCCAGACCCTTCCCCTGGGTCTCAGCCCTTCACCGCATTCTTGACCCTTTGTCCCAGATCTCCCCCAGTTGCACGACACCAACCATGGAGCCAAACCCCCAAACTGGTTCTGCCCCAAATCCAACTAAGTTTGCACCAAAAACGCCCGATTCTGCCCCAAAATCCCACTTTGCGCTCTCAGCCACAGCCGCTGACACGAATCCTAAACTTTTGGCCCCAAATCAGGACCCTGGGCCTCAATCCCTGACCTTCAGAGCAAAGGTTTGGGTCACAAAGAGGTGATTTGGGGTCAGGAGTTGTGGTTTGGGGTCAGCAGGTGAGAAGTGGGGCTGAGGCAGAGAAAGGTTGGGATCAATGGTCAAGGGCTGGGTGTGGGCTGGGGCTGTGGGGGAAGGGTCTGGGCAACGGGGACAGGGCGGGGACACGGAGATGGGGATGGGGACAGCAAGGCCATCGTCAATAAGATGAGCACTTTCAGCCCAACCAGCACCAGCACTCTCGGCACAGAAATAGGATCCGGAATCCTCATCCTTGAGGTTGTTCATGGGCAGCGTCACCGAGATCTGCCCGTTGTCCCTGGAGATCCTGAACCGGGCCGTGACCGATGGATTGTAGTAGGTGGTGCCATCAGGATTGTAGATCCCTGCGACGTATTCCAAACCCTGCCCGGGCCTCTGGCGGATCCAGAACATTTCATAACTCCCAAAACTGAACCCGGACCCTCGGCAGAAAAGGCGCAGGGATCCCCCGGGGGGCTGGAGGTGCCCCCCACACTCCAGCAGGGTCACGGCCGCCCGGAGCCCTGTGGGACAAAGCGGAGATGGGGATGAGCCCAAAGCTCAACCCTTGACCCAAGTCCTGATTATTGTCCCCAAACTTGGACCCTTGAAGTTCATCCTCCTCCTCCCAGGTGGGTCCCGCCTCTTTTTACAGCTGGCCTTGCCCACTAGGAGGCTCTGGACCAATCAGGTTTCTCATCCCCATCTCCCCTTTGTCCCGCAGGGCTCCGGGCAGCCGTGACCCTGCTGGAGTGCGGGGGGGGTACCTCCAGCCTCCCGGGGGTTCCCTGCGCCTCCTCTGCCGAGGGTCCGGGTTCAGTTTTGGCAGTTTCGGCATGCAGTGGATCCGCCAGAAACCCGGGCAGGGCTTGGAGTGGCTCGCAGGGATCAGTGAAAATGGTGGCACCACCAACTATGTGCCATCGGCCAAGGGCCTGTTCAGGATCTCCAGGGACAACGGGAAGAGCTCGGTGACGCTGACCATGAACAACCTCAAGGACGAGGATTTTGGATCCCATTTCTGTGCCAAACGTGACAATGGTTATGCTGGTGGTAATGCTGATGCTCTTTTTCCTTCACTTATGCTAATGACCATGAGGGTCATGAAATTTCTCCAATCCCAGCGATGCGTCCCCCAAGTTTCAGCCCTTCTAAAACCTCAACCATTTTCTCCAAAACTCTACCATTGTGTCCCCAACTCTGTACGTTTCTCCAATTTTGCCCATTTCTCCATAACCTCAACCCAGTCCAAGGTCCTGTTTGTAGGAGGCCTGAACTGGAGCCCAGGGGTGAAGTTTTGGGGCGAATGGTTGAGTTTTTAGGCAAGAGCAGGGGAGGGTTTGGGGTCAGTGCTTACCGTTGGGGCAAATGGGGGAGATTTGGGACAAAGGGTCAAGGGCTGAGGTTTGGGGAGGAAGAGTCTGGGTTTGGGGACAAGGGGGGCTCTGATGGGGTGGTGCAACCACCGGAATGGTCAATATAGGCAGCAACAGGGTTACCAGTATTGACAGATTTCACAAAGAAATAGGATCCAGAATCCTCGTCCTTGAGGTTGTTCATGGTCAGCGTGATCGAGCTCTGCCCGTTGTCCCTGGAGATCGTGAACCAGTCCTTGACCGACAGCGCGTATTTGGGGTAACCACCATTGTTGTTCACACTCACGACGCATTCCAGGGCCTGCCCGGACCTCTGACGACACCAGCCCATCCCAAATTGTCCAAAATTGAACCCGGACCTTCAGCAGAGGAGGCGCAGGGACCCCCCGGGGGGCTGGAGGTGGCCCCCCGCACTCCAGCAGGGTCACGGCTGCCCGGAGCCCTGCGGGACAAAGGGGAGATGGGGATGAGGGAAAAGCTCAACCCTTGACCTAAATCCTGACTATTGGCCTCAAATTGGGACCATTGGAGTTCATCACCCTGCTCACAGGTGGGTCCTGCCCCATTTTTGAAGCATGCTATGCGAAGTTGGGCACTCTTCACCAATCAGGTTTCCCATCCCCATCTCCCCTTTGTCCCGCAGGGCTCCGGGCGGCCGTGACCCTGCTGGAGTGCAGGGGGGACCTCCAGCCCCCCGGGGGATCCCTGCGCCTCCTCTGCCGAGGGTCCGGGTTCGATTCTGGCAGTTTTGGGATGGGCTGGTATCGCCAGAGACCCGGGCAGGGGCTGGAGGACATTGCAGATATCAGTAATGGTGGCAGCACCTGGTATGCGCCATCCGTCAAGGGCCGGTTCACGATCTCCAGGGACAACGGGCAGAGCTCAGTGACGCTGACCATGAACAACCTCAAGGACGAGGATTCCGCCATCTATTTCTGTGGGAAATCTGTCAATACTGGTGCTCCTGTTGCTGTTGCTCATGGGGACCTTCCCAGTGATTGCCCCACACCAAACACAGCACCCCCACCTGTCCCCATTCCCCAGACCCTTCCCCAGCTCCCAGCCCCTGACCCCGCCCGTGACCATTTCTCCATTTCCCTTTTCCCTCTCCGGCCCCAAACCCCAACCCTTGGCCGTTGATCTTCCCCCTAACTCTGCCCCAAAGGTCAGCGCTGGGCCTGGGGCTGGGGACACGAATTCAGTCACCGAGAGTGGGGACGAGGGCTGGGATTTGGGGGAGGGTCTGGGGAATGGGGTCATTTGGGGACACGACGATGTGGGTGGAGTCAATAGCATTGGCATCATGGTCATCGCCATCCGCCCCAGCGGCTTTGGCACAGAAATTGGATCCGGAATCCTCGTCCTGCAGGTCGATCATGGTCAGGGCAGTGTCGCTCTGCACGTTGTCCCTGGAGATCCTGACCTGTCCCGTGACCGACGGGGCGTTGTGGGTGTAACCCTCAGAGCTGTGGATCCCCGCGAGCCATTCCAGCCCCTGCCCGGGGCTCTGGCAGATCCATTGCTTGGAGTGACCCCCGAAACTGAACCTGGACCCTCGGCACAGCAATGTCAGGGACCCCCCGGTGGGCTGGAGATGCCCCCCACACTCCAGCAGGGTCACGGCCGCCCGTAGCCCTGCAGGACAAAGGGGAGATGAGGGAAATCAAAACTCTGATTTGTCAAGGGCCTCCAAGTGGTTGTGGCCAGCTGGACAAAGGAGTAGAATGCTCCTGGCGGGAGGATGATGAACTCTAAAGATCCCAATTTGGGGCCAAGAGTCAGGATTTGGGTCAAGGGTCGATCTTTGGCCTCATCCTCATCTCCCCTTTGTCCCGCAGCGCTCCGGGCGGCCATGACCCTTCTGGCGTGCAGGGGGGACCTCCAGCCCCCCGGGGGGTCCCTGCGCCTCCTCTGCCGAGGGTCCGGGTTTGATTTTTGGAGTTTTTCCATGCAATGGGTCCGACAGAGACCTGGGCAGGGCCTGGAGTGGCTTGCAGGGATCAGCGGAAATGGTTCAAGCACGTACTACACGCCGTCAGTTAAGGGCCTGTTCAGGATCTCCAGGGACAATGGGCAGAGCTTGGTGATGCTGACCATGAACAACCTCAAGGACGAGGATTCCGGATCCTATTTCTGTGCCAAATGTGACAATGGTTATGCTGGTGGTGATGCTGCTGCTCTTTTTGCCTTCACTTCTGGTGGTGACCACGATGGTCGTGAAATTTCTCCAATCCCAGTGATGCTTCCACCAAGTTTCGGCCTTTCTAAAACCTCAACCATTTTCCCCCAAACCCTGCCATTGTGCCCCAACTCTGTGCTTTCCTCCATTTTTGCCCATTTCTCCCTAATCTCTTCCAAGTCCCGGGCCCTGATTGGAGGAGGCCTGAACTGGAGCCCAGGGGTGAAGGTTTGGGGCCAATGGTTGAGTTTTGGGGCAGGAGCAGGGGAGGGTTTGGGGTCAGTGCTGACCATTGACGCAAATGGGGGAGATTTGGGACAAGGGGTCAAGGGCTGAGGTTTGGGGGGAAGGGTCTGGGTTTGGGGACGGGGGGCTCAGACAGGGGTGATGCCAAAACTGGCATGGTCAATATGAGTAGGAGCAGCAGGCCAACCAGCATTAGCAGATTTCCCACAGAATTAGGATCCGGAATCCTCGTCCTTGAGGTTGTTCATGGTCAGCGTCACCGAGCTCTGTCTGTTCTCCCTGGAGATCCTGAACCGGCCCTGGACTGATGGCGTGTACTCGGTGTAACCTCCATTGTTGTTGACACTCGCAACGTGTTCCAGCCCCTGCCCGGGCCTCTGGCGCATCCAGCCCATCCCAAATTGTCCAAAATCGAACCCGGCCCCTCGTCAGAGGAGGCACAGGGACCTCCCGGGGGGCTGGCGGTCCCCCCCGCACTCCCACAGAGTCACGGCCGCCCGGAGACCTGCGGGAAAAAGGGGAGAAGGGGGTGAGGGAAAACCCCAGCCCTTGAGCCAAATCCTGACTCTTGGCCCCAAATTGGGACCCTTGGACCTCCCCATCCTCCAGCTCCTCCTCCTGCTGGCGTTCCCAGGTGGGTTCCGCCCACCTCCAGATCTGGCTACGCCCAGTTTATTTTGGAAACTAGAATTGATTGGCATCTGACCCCATGACTCAGAATGCTGCACAATTGCGGCATTCAATCTGTACTATATTACATTAATTCTATATCTACTTAATACTTTATTATATCTCATTAATAACATATTCTATTTCATTTCTGCTATATTACCACTCCACTAAAGAGATACTAAAAGAATTCAGTACAAAAGACACTAAAATATCCTATAGAAAACCTGTGAGCAATTAAATTGAAAAAGAATAAGAATCAATCAGCAGAACACAACTGGTAAATGCCTGGAGGGGAACAATCCCCCCGACACGTTCCACATGTGCAGAAACAGCAGGAGCAGCGATGAGAGATGGGAATTGTTTCATCTTCTTCTTCTCCCTGTGCTGCTCCAGGAAAAATAATGAGAGAGAGAGACAGAGAGAGAGGGAGAGAGAGAGAGAGAGAGGGAGAGAGGGAGAGAGGGAGAGAGGGAGAGAGAGGGAGAGAGACAATGGTGTCTGACTTTGTGCAGGGAACGGGAATGGCACAGCCAGGCCCCGTGCCCATCTCCCCTTTGTCCCGCAGGGCTCCGGGCAGCCGTGACCCTGCTGGAGTGCGGGGGGGACCTCCAGCCCCCCGGGGGTTCCCTGCGCCTCATCTGCCGAGGGTCCGAGTTTGATTTCGGGAGTTTTGGCATGCAATGGGTGCACCAGAGACCCGGGCAGGGGCTGGAATACATTGCCAGTATCAGCAGCAGTGGTGGTAGCACCGACTACGCGCTGTCGGCCAAGGGCCGGGCCACGATCTCCAGGGACAACGGGCAGAGCTCGGTGATGCTGACCGTGAACAACCTCAAGGACGAGGATTCGGCTGTTTATTTCTGTGCCAAACGTGGTACTAGTGGTTATGGTGGTGCTGCTGCTTAGAGTGACGATGGCCGTAGTGCATCCATCCCCATCTCTGGGTCCTCACGTCTCCCCAAACTGAGACTCCTCCTTCAAATTATCCCCCAAGCCTCAGCCCTTGACCCTTTGTCCCAAATCTCCCCCATTTGCACCAATGGTCAGCACTGACCCGAAACCCTCCACTGCTCCTGCCCCAAATCTCAACCATTGGCCCCAAACCTTCACCCCTGGCCTCCAGTTCAGGCCTCCTCCAATCAGGGCCCAGGAGCTGGGGGAGATTTGGGTGAAATGGGCAAAAATGGGTTACAGTCCAGAGTTGGAGCAAAGATGGTGGACATTCGGGTAGAAGGTCAAGAATGGGGTCAAGGGTTGGGATTTGGGGCAGGATTTGGGGATTTTGGGACATTTAGGGAGCCAGGGATGGGGGTTTTGGGGCTACCACCAGCATCGTCACCATGTCCATAGCTCTCAGAGAGGATTCCAGCCCAGCCCCAAGGAACAGCACCAGACACCGAGGCCGCTGAGGGAGCAGTGAAGCCCCAGGTGGGAGCGAGGGAGGGAGGGAGGAGAAGATGCCGTGATTTTGGGGCTCCGCAGCCTCCCCCCACTTCCTCCCCGGCAGCTGCCGGGGCCCGGCCGGGGCAGGAAAGGAAACAGAAAGTTCCTGGTTTTGTTCATGGTGAACATCTGTGTTTGGCAGAGGGCAGCTCAGCCTCTGGGCGCTGCGACAGAGCGGCTGCTGCACAAAAAGCTTTGTGTGCAAAGGGCCCTGGAGCGATCCCCGTTCCGCACTGGGATGGAGGGGAAGGGCCAGACTGGGGAGGAATGGGGAAAATTGGGGGGAAACGGAGAGATGGGGAAGTGATGGTGGAGTTTGGGGGAAAATATCTGAGATGTGAGAAAAAGAGCCAGGATTTTGGGGAAGGATCTCTGGGATTTGAGACATTTGTTGACCATCATGGTCACTGCCAGGATTGATGCCAAAACCGGCGTCAATAGCATTGCCAGCGTAAACATTGCAAAGTTTGACACAGAAATAAATGGCGGAATCCTCGTCCTTGAGGTTGTTCATGGTCAGCGTCACTGAGCTCTGCCCGTTGTCCCTGGAGGTTGTGAACTGACCCTTGGAACGGCGCGTACTGGGACTAGCGCCATCACTGTTGACACTTGCCAAAAACTCCAGCCCCTGCCCAGGTCTCTGGCACATCCAGCCCATCCCAAAACTGCCGAAACTTAACCCGGACCCTCGGCAGAGGAGGCGCAGGGACCCCCCGTGGGGCTGGAGGTCCCCCCCACACTCCAGCAGGGTCACGGCCGCCCGGAGCCCTGCGGGACAAAGGGCAGATGGGGATGGGGATGGGGCCCCGGATCCGGGCGTGGGCTGGGCTGGGGGTGACCAGATCCAAAAAGGGACCTCGACCCACCTGGGAGGGCCAGCAGGATCGGGATGACGAGAAAGTGCCACAATTTGGGGCCAACATCAGGATCTGCCTACAAGAATCAACATTTGAGTGGATTCTTTCCCTGATCCCCATCTCCCCTTTTTCCCGCAGAGCTCCGGGCGGCCGTGACCCTGCTGGAGTGTGGGGGGTTACTCCAGCCCCCCGGGGGGTCCCTGACGGTGCTGTGCCGAGGGTCCGGGATCAGTTTCGGGGGTCACGCCATGCAATGGATCCACCAGAGACCCGGGCAGGGGCTGGAATGGCTCGCGAGGATCAACAGCAATGCTGGTTGGACCGGCTACGCGGATTCTGTCAAGGGCCAGTTCACGATCTCCAGGGACAACAGGCAGAGCTCGGTGACGCTGACCATGAACAACCTCAAGGACGACGATTCCGCCCTTTATTTCTGTGGCAAATGTTACACTAGTGGTTGTGTTAGTGGTGGTGCTACATATGGTGTTGATGGTGGTTGTGGTCCCAAGCCCTCTCCTCTCTGTTCCCAAATATCTCAGAATTCTCCGATCCTTCCCCAAAATCCCCACCCCTGTTTCTCAAATCTTGACCATTTCCCCCTAAACTCCACCCCTGCTGCCACAGCTTTTGGTTTCCCCCCAATTTCCCCCATTTCTCCCCAATCTCCCCCAGATACCCTCCGTCCCAGTGTGGCACGGGGATCGCTCCAGGGCCCTTTGCACACAAAGCTTTTTGTGCAGCCGGCGCTCTGCCGCAGCGCCCCGAGGCTGAGCTGCCCTCTGCCAAACACAGATGTTCATAACGACCAAAACCAGGAACTTTCTGTTTCCTTTCCTGCCCCGGCTGGGCCCCGGCAGCTGCTGGGGAGGAAGTGGGGGGAGGCTGCGGAGCCCCAAAATCGTGACGTCTTCTCCTCCCTCCCTCCCTCCCTCGCTCCCACCTGGGGCTTCACTTCTCCCTCAGCGGCCGCGGTGTCTGGTGCTGCTCCTTGGGGCTGGGCTGGAATCCTCTCTGGGAGCTATGGAGAAAAAACCCTTTTTTTTACACAAAAACACATGACATTTTGGGGAAATTGAATTTTTCAAATTGATATCGAGCCAAGGGCTCCATGCTGAGACAAGTAGAGGGGTGCAAGGGTGGAGTCACCTGAAACATTCCATCGGTGAAGGGCAGGGTCAGAATGGCTAAGGAGAGCTCAGGAGCCAAAATGGCCCCGAGTGGGCCCCGAGCTGAGGTTTGGGGCCAGGAGCTGAGAATGTGGGGCAGAGCCAGGGCAGGGTTGCGGCACAGGGACAGGAAAGGAGTCAGGGGCTGGGGTTTGGGGGAAGGGTCTGGGGAACGGGGACGGGGGGGAACCTGGGGGCATGGGCAGGGCTACACGATATGCAGCAGCGTGATTATAGTAACCACTACCAGAAGTTTTCGCACAGAAATAGGTGGCAGAATCCTCGTCCTTGAGGTTGTTCATGTTCAGCATCACCGAGCTCTGCCCGTTGTCCCTGGAGATCCTGAACCGGCCCTGAACCGAGGGTGCGTATCTGGTGCTGGAACCACTGCTGTAGATCACCGCGAGCCACTCCAGGCCCTGCCTGGGTCTCTGGCGGATCCAGAGCATGTCAAAACCGCTGAAAATGAACCCGGATCCTCGGCAGAGGAGGCGCAGGGAGCCCCCGGGGGGCTGGAGGTCCCCCCGCACTCCAGCAGGGCCACGGCCGCCCGGAGCCCCGCGGGACAAAGGGGAGATGGGGATGAGGAGATGCAAAAGTCAGGCACAGCTTCCCAATTAAAAAATGGGTGGACTGGGGCTAATTGCAGATTTGAAGGCACTTTACGATACTGGAAATCTCTGTTGGAGTTTTGAGGCCAGACAAAGGGAGTTAGGGGCAGAAACACAGTGAAGGTTTGGGGATGGGGGAGCGGCCTTGACCCTGCTGGAGTGCGGAGGGGACCTCCAGCCCCCCGGGGGGTCCCTGCGCCTCTTCTGCTGAGGGTCTGGGTTTGATTTTGGAAAATTTGGGATTGGCTGGATGCGCCAGAGTCTCGGACAGGGGCTGGAACACATCGTAGGGATCCAAAGTGATGGCAGCACCTACTATGCGCCATCGTTCAGGGGCCGGGTCACGATCTCCAGGGACAACGGGCAGAGCTCGGTGACGCTGACCATGAACAACCTAGAGGACGAGGATTCCGGATCCTATTTCTGTGCCAGATGCAGTGATGGTGGTTGGAATGGAGCTGCTGTTTCTTAAGGTGGCAATCCTCAGCATCGCTCCAAGGCTGCAGCCCAAGTTCCCAAAATTTCCCAAATTACTTCTCCCAAATCCCAACCCTTGATCCCATTCTTGACCTTACTCCCCAGTTTCCACTATTGCAGTCTGAATTCCTGATGTTTCCCCAGTTTTGCCCATTTCACCCAAATCTCCCCCAGCTCCCAGGCCCTGATTGGAGGAGGCCCTAACTGGAGGCCAGGGGTGAAGGTTTGGGGCCAATGGTTTAGTTTTGGGGCAGGAGCAGTGGAGGGTTTGGGGTCAGTGCTGATCATTGGTGCAGATAGGGGAGATTTGGGACAAAGGGTCAAGGGCTGAGGTGTGGGGGATAATTTGAAGGAAGGGTCTGGGTTTGGGGACAGGTGATGACACAGAGATGGGGTGAATTCACCACGGCCATCGTCACTACAAGCAGCAGCACCACCATGACCGCTAGTAGAACGTTTGGCACAGAAAAAAAAGTTGGAATCCCCGTCCTTGAGGTTGTTCATGGTCAGCGTCACCGAGCTCTGCCCATTGTCCCTGGAGATCGTGACCCGGCCCATGACCGATGGCGCGTAGCCGGTGCTGCCAGCACTGCTGCTGATACTGGCGATGAATTCCAGAGTCTGCCCGGGTCTCAGGCACATCCAGAACATTCCATAACTCCCAAAACTGAACCCAGAGGCACGGCCCAGAAACGTCAGGGACCCCTCGGGGGGCTGGAGGTCCCCCCCGCACTCCAGCACGGTCACGGTCGCCCGGAGCCCTTCGGGACAAAGGGGAGATGGTGAGGAATGAAAAAAACTAACTGAATTTTAATTCTTGCAAGCAGATCCTGATGTTGGCCTCAAATTGGGACCCTTGGACCTCCCCATCCTCCTCATGCAGCACCTGCTGGCCCTCCCAGGTGGATCCCACACCCTTTTTCTGGCATGGCGGTGCCCACTTTGGGTCCAAAACAAATCCATGCCCTCATCCCCATCTCCCCTTTGTCCTGCAGGGCTCCGGGGCGCCGTGACCCTGCTGGAGTGCGGGGGGGACCTCCAGCCCCCCGGGGAGGCCCCTGACGTTGCTGTGCCAAACATCTGGCTTCAATTTCACAAAATCTGCAATGTTCTGGATGCACCAGAGACCCGGGCAGGGGCTGGAATACGTCGCGGGCATCAAGGGTGATGGTTCCACCTGCAGATATGCGCCATCGGTCAAGGGCCGGTTCCGGATCTGCAGGGACAACAGGCAGAGCTCGGGGACGCTGACCATGAACAACCTCAAGGAGGAGGATTCCGGATCCTATTTCTGTGCCAAAAACGCCTATGATGGTTGGGGTTGGGAGGCTCATCCTGCTGGTTCTAATTTTGGTCCCATCCCCACCCCTGTTCCCCAGGTCCTTCCCTCCTACACTTGACCCAATTGTTGACGCCCACAGACCCAAATCTGGACCATTTTTCCCAAATCTTGACCATTTGCACCAAGGATTGAGAGCCTTGGTTGAGCCTTGGAGCCAAGAGCTGAGGTCTGGGGCCCAGAGCTGAGATTTGGGGCAGAACCAGCTGAGTTTGGAGCCAATGGTCACAAGTGAACCCTGCTGAGATGGCACAAAGGGCAGGGTTTTGGGGATGAACCTTTGAGAATTATTTCAAATTCTGAAAGCCCCATGGAAATGTGTGAGCTGAGACAATGATTGGGGAGACTGGGGAAAATGGTCAAGATTTTTGGCCAACACTAAAGATTTGGGTGTAAAATGTGGGGTTTTGGGATGTTTGTGGGCACAGCAACGAGGAGGGGCCACCACTGGCATCGTCATCATAACCAGCATCAAAATTAGGACCACAACCACTGCTGTAACATTTGGCGAAGAAATAGGATCCGGAATCCTCGTCCTTGAGGTTGTTCATGGTCAGCGTCACCAAGCTCTGCCCGTTGTCCCGGGAGATCGTGACCCGGCCCTTGACTGAATGTGCGTAGGTGGAGTTTCCACCATCGTTCCTGATCATCGCGAGCAACTCCAGCCCCTGCCCGGGTCTCTGGCGCACACAGAACATGTCGTAGCTCCTGAAACTGAAACCGGACCCTTGGCAGATGAGGCGCAGGGACCCCCGGGGGCCTGGAGGTCCCCCCCGGACTCCAGCAGGGTCACGGCACCACGGAGTCCTGCGGGATAAAGGGGAGATGGGGATGAGGCCAAAGCTCAACCCTTCACGCCAAAATCCCAATTATTGGCCCCTGGTTGTGACAATTTGTTCATTCTCCTCCTGCTCCTGGTCACCCTCCCAGGTGGATCTCATCCCTTTTTCCAGCTGGCCACACCCACTGCAGGCCCTCAGCCAATCAGGTTTCTCATCCCCATCTCCCCTTTGTCCCGCAGGGCTCCGGGCGGCCGTGACCCTGCTGGAGTGCGGGGGGGGGGACCTCCAGCCCCCCGGGGAGTCCCTGCGCCTCCTCTGCCGAGGATCTGGGTTCAGTTTTGGCAGTGTTGGGATGAGCTGGGTGTGCCAGAGACCCGGGCAGACACTGGAATACATCGCAGCTATCAGCAGCAGTGGCAGCACCTGGTACGCGCCATCGGTGCAGGGCCGGTTCAGGATCTCCAGGGACAACGGGCAGAGCTCGATGACGCTGACCATGAACAACCTCAAGGACGAGGATTCCGGATCCTATTTCTGTGCCAAATGTTACAGCACTGGCTGTGGTAATGCTGCTTATGCGCATGGTGTTGATGGTGGTTGTGGCCTCAAGCCCTTTCTTCTATGTTCCCACAAATCACAGAATTCTCTGATCCTTCCAAAAAATCCCGGCTCTTTTTCTCACATCTCAGATATTTTCCCGCAAACTCCACCATCACTTCCCCAATTCCAAGTTTCCCCCAAATTTTGCCCATCTCTCCCCAGTCTGGCCCTTCCCCTCCGTCCCAGTGCGGAACGGGGATCGCTCCAGCGCCCTTTGCACACAAAGCTTTTTGTGCAGCCGGTGCTCTGCCGCAGCGCCCCGAGGCTGAGCTGCCCTCTGCCAAACACAGATGTTCACAATGACCAAAACCAGGAACTTTCTGTTTCCTTTCCCGCCCCAGCCGGGCCCCGGCACCTGCCGGGGAGGAAGTTGGGGGAGGCTGCGGAGCCCCAAAATCGCGGCGTCTTCTCCTCCTCCCTCCCTCCCTCGCTCCCACCTGGGGCTTCACTTCTCCCTCAGCGGCCTCGGTGTCTGGTGCTGCTCCTTGGGGCTGGGCTGGAATCCTCTCTGGGAGCTCTGGAGAGAAAACCCTTTTTTTTACCCAAAAACACCTGAAAGTTAGGGGAGATGAAACTGTTTAAATTGATCTCGAGCCAAGGGCTCCATGCTAAGAGAAGCAGATGGGTGCAAGGGTGCAGTCACCTGGAACGTTCCATCGGTCGAGGGCCGGGTCAGCAGGGCCACAGACAGCGGGATGAGCTCGGTGACGCTGGCCATGTGTGATCACAGGGGAAAGGTCTGGGGACCGCTGAGGACACGGGGATAGGGACCCGGCCAAAAGCACTGGCAATATCAGCATTGCAACCAGAAATACACTTGGCACAGAAATAGGATCCAGAATCCTCGTCCTGGAGGCTGTTCATGCTCAGCGTCACCGAGCTCTGCCCGTTGTACCTGGAGATCGTGAACCGGCCCTTGACCGACGGCGCGTAGAATGTGTTGGCACCATCAGCGATGATCCCAGCAATGAATTCGGGTGCCTGCCCGGGTCTCTGGCTGATCCAGTACATTCCATAATTCCCAAAATCGAACCCGGACCCTCGGCAGAGCAACATCAGGGACCCCCCGGGGGGCTGGAGGTCCCCCTCGCACTCCAGCAGGGTCATGGCCGCCCAGAGCCCTGCGGGACAAACGGGAGATGGGGATTAGAAACCTGATTGGCTGTGGGCCTCAAAGTGGGTGTGTCAAACTGGAAAATGGGGCGGGACGGACCTGAGAGGGGCAGCAGGAGCAGGACAACAAGAATGGTGTGGTCCAAAGGTCCCAGTTTGGGGTCAAGAGTCAGGATTTGGGTCAATGTTGAGCTTTGGCCTCATCCCCATCTACCCTTTGTCCCGCCGGGCTCCGGGCAGCCGTGACCCTTCTGGAGTGCGGGGGGGACCTCCAGCCCCCCAGGGGGTCCCTACGCCTCCTCTGCCGAGGGTCCGGGTTCGATTTCGGAAATTATGGAATGTTCTCGATTCGCCAGAAATCTGGGAAGACACTGGAATACCCTGCAAGTATCAATGGTGTTGGCACCACCCACCACGCACCATCAATCAATGGTCGGTTCACGATCTCCAGGGACAACGGGAAGAGCTCGGTGACGCTGACCATGAACAACCTCAAGGACGAGGATTCCGCCATTCATTTTTGCGGGAAATCTTCTGGTATAGGTGTTGGTAGTGCTGCTGCTAATTGAGGTGATGATGATGGTTGTGTCCCCATCCCCGTGTCCCCTCCCCGCCCCTGTTGCCCAGACCCTTCCCCCAATCCCCCAGCCCACACCCAGCCCTTGACCATTGATCCCAACCTTGCTCTGCCTCGGCCCCAGTTCTCACCCGCTGACCCCAAACCACAACTCCTGACCCCAAATCTCCTCTTTGTGACCCAAAACTTTGCTCTGACGGTCGGGGTTTGAGGCCCGGAGCCTCGATTTGGGTGAGAATTGGGGATTTGTGTCAGTGGTGGCTGCTCTGGGGCAGCAGCGCAGATTTGGGTGGAGTTGGGCGAGTTCAGCCCAGGGATCCTGGCAGAGGGGCCAGGGCTAGCCCCGAAGCCAAAATGGCCCCGAGTGGGTCCCGAGCTGAGGTGTGGGGCCAGGAGCTGAGAATGTGGGGCAGGGCCAGAGCAGGGTTGGGGCACGGGGACAGGAATGGGGTCAGGGGCTGGGGATTGGGGGAAGGGGCTGCGGAACGGGGACAGGGGGGACACAGCGATAAGGGTGGGGTCAAAATGATCAGGAGCAGCCCAACCATCAGCAGCAGCTTTGGCACAGAAGTAGGATCCGGAATCCTCATCCTTGATGTTGTACATGGTCAGCGGCACCGAGCTCTGCCCGTTGTCCCTGGAGATCCTGAACTGACCCTGGACTGACGGCACGTATTAGATGGTTCCACGAGTGTTGCTGATGTAAGCGATGAATTCCAGCCCCTGCCTGGGTCTCTGTCGGACCCATTGTAGGGCAAAACTACCAAAACTGAACCTGGACACTCAGCACAGCAACGTCAGGGACCCCCCGGGGGGCTGGAGGTCCTCCCCGCACTCCAACAGGGCCACGGCCGCCCGGAGCCCTGCGGGACAAAGGGGAGATGGAGATGGGGAAAAAAATCAACCCAGATATTGATTCTTGCATGCAGATCCTGATACTGGCCCTAAATTTGGACACTTGGCCTCACCATCCTCATCCTGCAGCACCTGCCAATCCTCCCAGGTGGATCCCGCACACTTCTTCTGGCATGGCGGTGCCCACTTTGGGTACGCAGCCAATCCAGCTTCTTCTGCCCATCTCCCCTTTGTCCCGCAGGGCTCCAGGCGGCCGTGACCCTGCTGGAGAGCGGGGGGGAACTCCAGCCCCCCGGGGGTTCCCTGCGCCTCCTCTGCAGAGGGTCCGGGTTCACTTTTGGGGATTATGGAATGTACTGGATCCGCCAGAGACCCGGGCAGGCGCCTGAATTCATTGCTGGGATCAACGCTGATGGTGTCAACACCTTCTACGCGCTGTCAGTCAAGGGCCGGTTCACAATCTCCAGGGACAAAGGGCAGAGCTCGGTGACGCTGACCATGAACAGCCTCCAGGACGAGGATTCTGGATCCCATTTCTGTGCCAAGCATATTTCTAGTGGAAATGCTGACACTGCCGGTGCTTTTGGGCCTGTCCCCATCCCCGTGTCCTCAGCTGTCCCCAGACCTTTTTACCCTGTGATCACACCTGGCTAGCGTCAGCGAGCTCAGCCCGCTGTCCCTGGCCGTGGTGACCCTGCCCTTGACCGATGGAACGTTCCAGGTGAATCCACCCTTGGACCCATCTGCTTCTCTCAGCTTGGAGCCCTTGGCTTGAGATCAATTTCAACAGTTTCATCTCCCCTAACTTTCAGGTGTTTTTGGGTAAAAAAAAAAGGGTTTTTTCTCCAGAGCTCGCTGAGAGGATTCCAGCCCAGCCCCAAGGAGCAGCACCAGACACCGAGGCCGCTGAGGGAGAAGTGAAGCCCCAGGTGGGAGCGAGGGAGGGAGGGAGGAGAAGACGCCGTGATTTTGGGGTCCCCAGCCTCCCCCCACTTCCTCCCCGGCAGCTGTCGTGGCCCGGCCGGGGCAGGAAAGGAAACAGAAAGTTCCTGGTTTTGGTCATTGTGAACATCTGTGTTTGGCAGAGGGCAGCTCAGCCTCGGGGCGCTGCGGCAGAGCGCCGGCTGCACAAAAAGCTTTGTGTGCAAAGGGCGCTGGAGCGATCCCCGTTCCGCACTGGGACTGAGGGGAAGGGCCAGACTGGGGAGAAATGGGCATAATTGGGGGGAAACTTGGAATTGGGGAAGTGACGGTGGAGTTTGGGGGAAAATATCTGAGATGTGAGAAAAAGAGCCAGGATGTTGGGGAAGGATGAGAGAATTCTGAGATATGTGGGAAGAGAGAGGAGAGGGCTTGGGACCACAACCACCATCAACACCATGAGCAGCAGCACCACCACCACAACCACTGGAATAAAATTTGGCACAGAAATAAACGGCGGAATCCTCGTCCTTGAGGTTGTTCGTGGTCAGCGTCACCGAGCTCTGCCCGTTGTCCCTGGAGATTGTGAACCGGCCCTGCACCGATGAGGCGTATATGGTGCCACCATCACTCCAGATCGCTGCCACACATTCCAGCCCCTGCCCGGGTTTCTGGCGCATTCAGAACATGGGGTAACTCCCGACATCGAACCTGGACCCTCGGCAGAGGAGGCGCAGGGACCCCCCGGGGGGCTGGAGGTCCCCCCCGCACACCAGCAGGGTCACGGCCGCTCCCACATTCGTAAACCTTCACTGGTTTTACCCCAAATTCCCTTTGCCTGGCCTCAAATATCCAACAGAAATTTCCTGTATGGAAAAGTTCCCTAAACCCTACAATTAGCTGCAATCCATCCATAAATTAATTCGACAGCTCCACCTGACTTTTGCATCCCCTCATCCCCATCTCCCCTTTGTCCCGCAGGGCTCCGGGCGGCCGTGACCCTGCTGGAGTGGGGGGGAGGCCTCCAGGCCCCCGGAGGGTCCCTGCGCCTCCACTGCCGAGGGTCTGGGTTCAGTTTCGGGGGTTCCTCCAAGTACTGGATCCGCCAGAGACCCGGGCAGGGGCTGGAGTGGCTGGCGGGGATCAGTTTAGATGGTTCCAGCATCTACTACGCGCCATCGGTCAAGGGCCGGTTCAGGATCTCCAGGGACAACGGGCAGAGCTCGGTGACGCTGACCATGAAAAACCTCAAGGACGAGGATTCCGGATCCTATTTCTGCGCCAACTGTGTTGATGATCGTGCTGGTTGTGAGAATGTTGCCTGTAGTTTTGACCTCATCCCAATCACTTTTTCCCCCTTACCCCCATTCCCCAGACCCTTCCCCCAGTCCCCAGCCCCTGACCCCATTCCTGTCCCCGTGTCCCAGCCCTGAACTGGCTCTGCCCCAAATCTCCCCCATTTTCCCCACAGATTCCCAACTCACGGCCCCACCCCTTCACCCTTGGTGCCAATTTTTGTGCCAAACCCTCAGGATTCGGTGCCCCCAGGACAGGTTTAAAGCCAGGCGTGCGAATTTGGGGGTTCCCCAGAGGGATTTATCCCCGCCCGGGGGTCTCTGTCCCAATCCCCACCGGGACGGGGTTGTGGGGACCCCTCTGGAGCCGTTTGGTTTCCCACTATCGCTCTCCTCACCGGGCTGTTGCAATGGGGAGGTGCCGGCGGCTCACGGCCCCGGCAGCACACACAGAACTCAATGGCGCCGCTCACCGCAAGAGGTTTGTGGCCAATCAAACAAAGCAAAGGCAGATTGACACGGTGGGGCCGGATCTGGGACATCCCCGTCAGTTTTGGGGAATGTGGTCGGGACGTGGGGCCAAGAGCTGAGGTTTGGGGCCAGGAGCTGAGATTTGGGGCAGAGCCAGTTCAGAGCTGGGACACGGGGACAGGAATGGAGCCAGGGGCTGGGGATTGGTGAAGGGTCTGGGGAACGGGGACATGGGGGGACACAGGCATGTGAAAGGGGTCAAAACCATAAACAGCAGCTTGAGCATATTTTCCTTCTGGAGCTTTTCCACAGAAATAGGTGGCGGAATCCTCATCCTTGAGGTTGTTCATGGTCAGCGTCACCGAGCTCTGCCCGTTGCCCCTGGGGATCGTGAACCGGCCCTGCACCGAATCCCCATAGAAGGTGTCTCCATCGTAGTCAATGCTCGCAATCCATTCCAGCCCCTGTCCAGGCCTCTGGCGAACCCAAGTAAAACTGGTTTGTCCGAAATTGAACCCAGACCCTCGGCAGAGGAGGCGCAGGGATCCGCCGGGGAGCTTGTCCCGCAGAGCTCCAGGTGGTCGTGACCCTGCTGGAGTGTGGGCGGGGCCTCCAGCTCGCCGGGGGGTACCTGCGCCTCCTCTGCCGAGGGTCCGGGTTCAGTTTGGGCAGTTTTGGGAGGATGTGGATGCGCCAGAGACCTGGACAGACTCTGGAGTGGCTCGCGGGGATCGCCAGGAGTGGGAACACCTACTACAATCCATCCTTCAAGGGCCGGGTCACGATCTCCAGGGACAACGGGCAGAGCTCGGTGACGCTGACCATGAACAACCTCAAGGACGACGATTCCGGATCCTATTTCTGTGCAAACGTGCTACAAGTGGTTATGGTGCTGGTGCTGCTGCTTATAGTGACGATGGCCGTGGTGGATCCATCCCCATCTCAGTGTCTTCACCTGTCCCCAAACCCAGACCATTCCTTCAAATTGTCCCCCAAACCTCAGCCCTTGACCCTTTGTCCCAAATCTCCCCCATTTGCACCAATGGTCAGCACTGAACCCAAACCCTCCCCTGCTACTGCCTCAAAACTCAATCATTGGCCCCAAACCTTCACCCCTGGGCTCCAGTTCAGGCCTCCTCCAATCAGGGCCCGGGGAGCTGGGGGAGATTTGGGTGAAATGGGCAAAACTGGGGGAAAGCCGAGAGTTGGGGCAGCAGAGGCAGGGTGTGGAAGGAACAGGTGAAGATTTGAGTAACAGAGCCGGGAGTCAGGGAAAGATCTCTGGCGATTGTGGGTATGTGGGACTGCAATGGGCCTGGGGCTACTGCAGGAATTGTCAATACTAGCAGGACCAGCAGAACCATAAGCATTACTGCTACGTTTGGCGCAGAAATAAACGGCAGAATCCTTGTCCTTGAGGTTGTTCATGGTCAGCATCATCGAACTCTGCCCGTTGTCCCTGGAGATCCTGAACCGGCCCTGCACCGATGGCGCGTAGTATGTGTTGGCACCATTGTAGTAGATGCTTGCGACGTATTCCAAAGCCTGCCCGCGTCTCTGGCGCATCCAGAACATGGAGAAACTCACGAAATCAAACCCGGACCCTCGGCAGAGGAGGCACAGGGACCCCCCGGGGGGCTGGATGTCCCCCCCGCACTCCAGCAGGGTCACGGCCGCCCGGAGCCCTGCGGGACAAAGGGGAGATGGGGATGAGAAACCTGATTGGTTGAGAGTCCCCAAGTCATCCTGTCCAGTTGAAAAATTGTAAAGGATCCATTCTGGAGGGTGACCAGGATCAGGAAGAGAATGACAAAGGGTCCCAGTTCGGGGCCAAGAGTCAGGATTTGGGTCAAGGGTTGAGCTTTGGCCTCATGCCCATCTCCCCTTTTTCCCGCAGGGCTCCGGGTGGCCGTGACCCTGCTGGAGTGCGGGGGGCACCTCCAGCCCCCCGGGGGGTCCCTGACTTTGCTGTGCTGCGCCTCTGGGTTTGATTTTGGGAGTCAGTCCATAAGCTGGGTCCATCAGAGACCTGGGCAGGGGCTGGAGGGGCTCGCGGGGATCAGCACTGGTGGCAGCACATTCTATGCGCCATCGGTCAAGGGCCGGATCACGATCTCCAGGGACAACAAGCAGAGCTCAGTGACGCTGACCATGAACAACCGCAGGGACGAGGATTCCGGATCCTATTTCTGCACCAGATCTGCTGATGGCAGTTGAGGTAACAGTGCTGGCCATGGTGACAATGACAACAGAGCAGCCCTACTCCCTTGTTGAAGTCCCCACCCGTCCCCAGCCCCTGACCAGTGATCCCAAACTTGCTCTGCCTTGATCCCAGTTCTCATCTACTGACCCCCAACCATACCTCCAGACTTCGAATCTCCTCTGTGTGCCCAAAAACTTTATACTGAATGCGGATATTTCAGGCCAAGGTTTAAGGTTTGTTTGAACCTTGTAGCCAAAATCAGTGTGAGAATTTTGGGCAGAGCCACTCCAGGGTTGGGACACGGGGTCAGGGATTGGGGTTTTGGGAATGGGTGGGGACACAGAGATGAGATCAGGGTCAGTATCAACAACACCAAACCCAGTAAGAGTACCCGAACTCCCAGCAGCATGTTTCACACAGAAATAGGATCCGTAATCCTCGTCCTTGAGGTTGGTCATGGTCAGCGTCACCGAGCTCTGCCCGTGGTCCCTGGAGATCGCGACCCGGCCCTTGAACGATGGTGCGTAGAAGGTGCTGGAACCACCCTTGTTGACCACTCCAACCCCTTCCAGCCCCTGCCCGGGTCTCTGGTGGACCCAGCTCATGTCGACATTTCCAAAACTGAACTCGGACCCTCGGCAGAGGAGGCGCAGGGACCCCCCGGGGGGCTGGAGGTCCCCCCGCACTCCAGCAGGGTCACGGCCACCCAGAGCACTGCGGGACAAAGGGGAGATGGGGATGAGGCCAAAGCTCAACCCTTGACACAAATCCTGACTCTTGGCCCCAAATTGGGACCCTTGGAGTTCATCATCCTCTTCCCTGGTGGGTCCTGCCCCTTTTTTCAGCTGTCCAAACCCACTTGGAGGCCCTTGACCAATCAGACTTTTAATTTCCATCCTCTCCCCTTTTTCCCACAGGGCTCCGGGTGGCCGGGACCCTTCTGGAGTGCGGGGGGGGACCTCCAGCCCCCCGGGGGATCCCTGCGCCTTCTCTGCTGAGGGTCCAGGTTCAGTTTCAGGAGCTACGACATGAACTGGGTGCGCCAGAGACCTGGGCAGGGGCTTGAGAGGGTCGCGTGGATCAGCAACGATGGTGGAAACTCCACCTACGCGGATTCAGTCAAGGGCCGGTCACGATCTCCAGGGACAACGGGCAGAGCTTGGTGACGCTGACCATGAACAACCTCAAGGACGAGGATTCCGAATCCTATTTCTGCGCCAAATGTTACAGCAGTGGTTGTGGTCCTAATATTGATGCTGGTTATGATGACGATGCCAGTGGTGGCCCCTCCTCGATACTGTGCCCACAAACACCCCAAAACCCCACATTCTACCCCCAAATCTTTAGCTTTGGCCACAAATCTTGACCATTTTCCCCAATCTCCCCATCATTGTCTCACCCCACTCATTTCCATGGTGCTTTCATAATTTTAAATAATTCTCAAAGGTTCATCCCCAAAACCCTGCCCTTTGTGCCCCAGATCTCAGCGGGGTCTACTTGTGACCATTGGCTCCAAACTCAGCTGGTTCTGCCCCAAATCTCGGCTCTTGGCGCCACACCTCAGCTCTTGGCTCCAAGGCTCAATCAAGGCTCTCAACCCTGGGTTCAAATGGTCAAGATTTGGGAAAAATGGTCCAGATTTGGGTGTGTGGGCGTCAACAATGGTGTCAAGGGTAGGAGGGAAGGACCTGGGCAACAGGGATGGGGATGGGACCAAAATTAGAACCAGCCGGATGAGCCTCTGTACTGGTTTAGGGCAAATTTGTTAAAGAATCTGCAAAGGAGGGCCCCTCCAGGAAGCAAAACCCACACGGCTCCTCCGCCCAACCGGTTCGGGAAAAAATTCCTCGGACAGAAGTGGTAAGAACCTGTTTATTTGACTGGCACAGCACCCCCCGCACACAAAATGAACAATACCAGCTGACACCGCTCTGAGAAAGATGACAAAATCAGAAAGTCTCTTTCGGGGGTGGTTGCTCTGTTCTCAGTCCCTCCGGCGCTGGGCCAGCTGCTGCAGCCAAACCTTTGGTGTTCCCGGGTCCCAGTCCGGAGCAGGTTCGAGATGGTCACAGGAACAGGAGAGAAGAAACAGTCCGGGAAGGAATTTGGACTGTTTAGCTAAACTAGCTAATAAGCAGAAGCAAAAGTGAGAGCAGAAGCAAGAGCAGAAAAGCAAGCAAGCAAAAGCAACAAGCTGCCAACTAGAAGGGGAAAAGCAGCCCTATGTACTGCCTTGTCTCCGTGTCCCTGATAAGGGAAACCCAAACAAACTTCCACTTTTCAGAGCCAGTCTTAAAGGCACAGAACAGATGAATGGGGATACAAGCATCATAACGTCACCCCAGGACATTCCACCCGTTATCCCCATATCATCAACATACTACAACACATCATGCATTATTCATACAAAATTTCCATCTGTTTCCCCAAAATTACAAGCAATACCCATCATGCCTTCATCACATCCCCACACTGGACCACTGAATCCAGGCCCTATATTACAGAGCTGCAGGATTCCCCCTTTTCACTTTAGTAACTTTAAGCTCCATCTATCACTTGCTCAGACCTTCGACACTTACACATTTCCTTCTCCATCTTCCACTTGCCCAGACCTTCAACTCTTACACATTTCCTTCTATCTCATGTCTGTATGGTTTAATGTACAGACAATGGCAGTAACATCCAATGAACAGTGATATTGCACATCATTCTTACCCCACAATCAGATCTCCCTGAGGTACACATCGTGTTGTTCCATCTCTTTGCATTATCCACCACGTGCAACCTGGTCCCTGAGCAAAGACAACCCCACGAATGGGTTTGTCTCTACTCGAGGCAGAGTTGATCCACACAGTCTTCCCTAACAAACCTCTGATATGTACCACTGGGACTTTGTCTCCTTCTATTACATTCAGGGACTCAGACTGGGCAGGACCTGCTCGGCTGGTGGAACCTCGGGTGTTGACTAACCAGGTGGCCTTTGATAAATGCTGCTCCCAATTCTTGAAAGATCCCCCACCCAAGGCTTTCAACTGGGTTTTTAGTAGTCCATTGTACCTCTCCACTTTCCCTGCAGCTGGTGCATGGTAGGGGATATGGTACACCCACTCAATGCCATGTTCCCTAGCTCAGGTGTTGATAAGGCTGTTCTTGAAATGAGTCCCGTTGTCTGACTCGATCCTCTCAGGGGTGCCATGTCTCCACAGGACTTGCTTTTCCAGGCCCAGGATGGTGTTCCGGGCTGTGGCATGAGACACAGGGTAGGTTTCCAACCATCCAGTGGTGGTTTCCACCATGGTCAGCACGTAGCGCTTGCCCTGGCGTGTCTGGGGCAGTGTGTTGGAGTCAATCTGCCAGGCCTCCCCATACTTGTACTTGGACCACCACCCACCGTACCACAGAGGCTTCACTCGCTCGGCCTGCTTGATGGCAGCACACGTCTCACAGTCATGGATAACCTGAGAAATACTGTCCATGGTTAGATCCACCGCTCGGTCTCGTGCCCATTTATAGGTGGCATCTCTGCCCTGGTGGCCTGAGGCATCATGGGCCCATCTAGCTAGGAATAACTGTCCCTTATGTTCCCACTCTAGGTCTATGTTGGACACCCCTATCTTTGCAGCTTGGTCTACCTGCTCATTGTTCTGGTGCTCCTCATTGGCCCTATTCTTGGGTACATGGGCATCTACATGGCAGACTTTCACAGGTAGCCTCCCTACCCTGGTAGCAATGTCTTTCCACTCATCAGCAGCCCAAATTGGTTTTCGCTCTACGTTGCCAGTTGGCCTCTTTCCACCTCTCCAGCCATCCCCACAGAGCATTGGCTACCATCCAGGAATCAGTGTAGAGGCAGAGCTTTGGCCACTTCTCTCTCTCAGCAATGTCCAGGGCCAGTTGAACAGCTTTGAGTTCAGCAAGTTGGCTCGATCCACCTTCTCCTTCGGCAGCTTGTGCAACCTGTCCTGCGGGGCTCCATATGGCTGCTTTCCACTTCTGGTTCATCCCTACGATGCGACAGGAACCGTCGGTGAAAAGAGCGTAGCACAATTCCTCTGGGAAAACTTGGTTATATGGAGGAGCTTCTTCAGTCCATGTTGGACACCCCTATCTTTGCGGCTTGGTCCACCTGCTCATGGTTCTGCTGCTCCTCATTGGCCCTGCTCTTGGGGGCATGGGCATCTGCATGGCGGACTTTCGCAGGTGTCCTGGGGTGACGTGATGATGCTCATATCCCCATTCATCTGTTCTGTGCCTTTAAGAGCGGCTCTGAAGAGTGGAAGTTTTGTTTGGGTTTCTCTTATCAGGGACACAGAGACGAGCAGTACTTGGGGCTGTTTTTCACTTCTTGCTTTCAGCTTGCTGCTTTGCATGCTCCCTTTTCTGCTCTCGCTTTTGCTTCTGCTTATTAGCTAGTTCAGCTAAACAGTCCAAATTCCTTCCTGGACTGTTTCTCCTCTCCTGTTCCTGTGACCATCTCGAACTATTGAAGTGAAGGGAGAAGGACCATCCGATTGATGCATCGAACTCCGATTTATTGATCAATCAATCCCCTTAAATAACAGTGTTAACGAATTTCATGCGTATTCTGTAATCCAAGTTCATGATAGGCTGACAGAGAAAACTCTAACCACTCCTTTTGTTTTAGAATACCTACAATTGTTTATTAAAAACAGAACCAACGTTCCCACTGTGATATGAAGGGTTCCCAAAACTTCCACATCGGTTCCCAGGGTGCCAGCTTTTCCCAGAGCAGGTCTTCTGCTTGTTATGGGAAGACCGCCTGAGAACTTTATTGTTTATAAAGAGAGTCGAATTGTTTATAGAAATCAGAAGGCTGAGAACTGCGTTAGGAACTGCTTTACTTTTCCCTTTTACTTTTCTCTCAATCGTATCTCTCATGGCCTTTTTCTTTAAGCGATTCTTGAACTAAACTCTCCACATCGAACCTGCTCCGCACTGGGACCCGGGAACACCGAAGGTTCGGCTGCAGCAGCTGCCCCAGCGCCGGAGGGACTGAGAACAGAGCGACTACCCCCAGAAGAGACTTTCCAATTTTGTCATCTTTCTCAGAGCGGCGTTATTACAGCGAACCTGTTGAAGGTCTCCACGGCGAGAGAAAGACGAGAATCTTGTTTCTTGATCGGAAGGCTGGATTTATTGATATGTGATACATAATACATTATGACTGTACTAAAAAGAATAAAAAGGGAGGTTTGCAGATGCTTGCTAAGCTAAGAATAGCAAGAAAGAAAACATAACAAAGTTGTGTCCAGGGACTCTGTCCCCAGCTTGCTCCTGTGATTGGCCATTAATTATAAACACGGGAACATGAGCCAATCACAGGTGCATCCCATTGCATTTCACAGCAGCTGATAACAATTGTTTACATTCTCTTTCTGGGGGCCCTCAGCTTCCCAGAAAATGCAGAAATCTGAAAGAAAGGATTTCTGTGGAAAAGCGTCTGCGACACAGTGTCATCGGGTATTGTTCATTTTGTGTGCTGGGGGGTGCTGTGCCTGAAATAAACAGGTTCTTTCCACCTCTCTCCGAGGAATTTTTTCCCGCACCGGTTGGGCGGTGGGGCCGTGTGGGTTTTGCTTTCTGGAGGGGGGCCCTCATTTTCAGATTGTCCTGGGGTGACGTCACGATGCTCGTATCCCCATCCATCTGTTCTGTGCCTTCAAGAGCGGCTCTGAAGAGTGGAAGTTTTGTTTGGGTTTCTCTTATCAGGGACACAGAGACGAGCAGTACTTGCGGCTGTTTTCACTTCTTGCTTTCAGCTTGCTGCTTTGCTCGCCCCCTTTTCTGCTCTCGCTTCTGCTTCTGCTCATTAGCTGGTTCAGCTAAACAGTCCAAATCCCTTCCCGGACTGTTTCTCCTCTCCTGTTCCTGTGACCATCTCGAACCTGCTCCGCACTGGGACCTGGGAACACCGAAGGTTCGGCTGCAGCAGCTGGCCCAGCGCCGGAGGGACTGAGAACAGAGCGACCACCCCCGAAAGAGACTTTCTGATTTTGCCATCTTTCTCAGAGCGGTGTCATCGGGTATTGTTCATTTTGCTTGCGGGGGGGTGCTGCGCCTGAAATAAACAGGTTCTTTTCACCTCTCTCCAAGGAATTTTTTCCCGAACCGGTTGGGCGGAGGGGCCGTGTGGGTTTTGCTTTCTGGAGGGGCCCCCTCCTTTCAAGATCCTTTAACAAATCTGCCCTAAACCAGGACACCATGTCTCTGGCGTCTCTCCTGCTGCAAAGGTGACCACCATACCCTTGGGGCTTGGGACAGCGTCTCCCCGCCGTCGGCCGCGTCGGGGTTGCCAACTCGGGACTGGCTGGGGGTGCCTGAGAGGCTCCCAGAGGGACAGAGACACTGTAACAGAGACAGGTAAACTGAACAGCCCTGGGGTTTTGGAGGTCATCACAAATTGGCCCGAAGGTGAAAATTTTGGCGTCACAGATGGAGAACGAGACCGGCGACACGGACCGAAGAAGCTCCTCCGTATAACCAAGCTTTCCCGGAGGAAACGCGCTGCGCTCTTTTCACTGACGGTCGTTGGAATTTATAAGGTTAGAGGATTTTTAAGAAGTGGTTAAAGAAAGGTATGTGGGTTTTAGATTGGAGTTTTGTTAGCACTGCAGAAAAGTTTGTCATGCAAGCAAAACAGTTTCCCAAGCAGTAGACGTGACAAACAACAACAGGCCTCTGTAGAATTGGCTTTAAGATGGCAGCAAAGTTATTTCATATATATCTTCAGAAGGTTAGCATGAATAGAACTCTGTTCTTCGTCTCTTATGAACCAGTCTTTGTTTTAGCTACCATTACGTGTGTTTTATAAGATTAGATAGAATGCTCGTCAATATGTGTTTTCTCTGTGTGATTGGCTGAAAACGCAGACTGAGATGATTTCATGTGTTGCTGTATGAGCCCTCTTAGAGGAGACATTTTGGGGCGGATCAGTGAGCTGTTCATGTCTCCTTTTTGCGTTCTGAGACTGACGTGCTGGAAATAAGAGCAAAAATCTCTTCGCTGGTCCAGTTGCAATGTTATCCATACTAAATATTTCGCCGCGGCCTAGCGAGTTCCTTTTTAAGACGTGAGTTCCTGACACAATTGGACTTATAACTGCCCATCCCTCGACAACGGCTCCTGTCGCATCGTAGGGATGAACCGGAAGTGGAAAGCAGCCGTATGGAGCCCCGCAGGACAGGTTGCGCAAGCTGCCGAAGGAGAAGGTGGATGGAGCCAACTGGCTGAACTCAAAGCTGTTCAGCTGGCCCTGGACATTGCTGAGAGAGAGAAGTGGCCAAAGCTCTGCCTCTACACTGATTCCTGGATGGTAGCCAATGCTCTGTGGGGATGGCTGGAGAGGTGGAAAGAGGCAAACTGGCAATGTAGAGGGAAACCAATTTGGGCTGCTCAAGAGCGGAAAGACATCGCTACCAGGGTAGGTGTTGGAGAATGAAGGGAGAACGACCATCCTTTAATGCATCGAACTCAGGTTTATTGATCAATCAGTCACCTTAAATAACAAAGTTAACGAACTTCATGCATATTCTGCAATCCAAGTTCATGATAGGCTAAGAGAGAAAACTCTAACCACTACTTTTGTTTTAGAATACCTACAATTGTTTATCAAAAACAGAACCAGTGTTCCCAAACTTCTGCATCTGTTCCCAGGGTGCCAGCTTTTCCCAGAGACGGTGTTCTGCTTATTATGGGAAGACAGTCCAAGAACTTTATTGTTTATAAAGAGAGTCGAGTTGTTTATAGAAATCAGAAGGCTGAGAACTGCTTTACTTTTCCCTTATACTTTTCTCTCAATTGTATGTCTCATGGCCTTTTCTTTAAGTCACTCTCCGACACAACTGGACATTGCTGAGAGAGAGAAGTGGCCAAAGCTCTGCCTCTACACTGATTCCTGGATGGTAGCCAATGCTCTGTGGGGATGGCTGGAGAGGTGGAAAGAGGCCAACTGGCAACGTAGAGGGAAACCAATTTGGGCTGCTGATGAGTGGAAAGACATTGCTACCAGGGTAGGGAGGCTACCTGTGAAAGTCCGCCATGTCGATGCTCATATCCCCAAGAGCAGGGCCAATGAGGGGCACCAGAACAATGAGCAGGTAGACCAAGCTGCAAAGATAGGGGTGTCCAACATAGACCTAGATTGGGAACATAAGGGAGAGTTATTCCTAGCTCCATGGGCCCATGATGCCTCAGGCCACCAGGGCAGAGATGCCACCTATAAGTGGGCACAAGACCGAGGGGTGGGTCTAACCATGGACAGCATTGCTCAGGTTATCCATGACTGTGAGACGTGTGCTGCCATCAAGCAGGCCGAGCGAGTGAAGCCCCTGCGCTACGGTGGGCGGTGGTCCAAGTACAAGTATGGGGAGGCCTGGCAGATTGACTCCATCACACTGCCCCAGACACGCCAGGGTATTGGAATACGAATCCCAATATTACCAGTTAGTGCCTGGGCCAGTCTGTCCCTTGCTGCTGGGCCAAAGGCAGCAGCCGTGGTGTCTATCACCCCAGAGATACCTTGGCTGCTGGAGGTTGCAGCTGGGCACTGAAAAAGTCCAGGCTTGTCAGGAACTCCGTTTACCTCAGGAGGAAGAGCTTCAGGCGATGGTGAAGAGAAAAAGGAGATGGATTCTGCTGGAGGGTTTGATGTCCAGAGGTTTATTCCATGGTTACAGAGGTCTGAACGGGGGCAACTGCTCCAACAGAATCACGACTGCATGGACTGATTACCTTTGTAAGCTCAGGGACAGGGGAAGGGGAGGGAACAGGTGAGCCACCCAACCAGGTGAGAGGGGCGGGGTCTCAGGGGGGGGATGACACCTAGACAGGCCAATGACCCCCAGGCCTGAGGGGCATCCTTTGAACTTGACCAACCACACGACGCCTTGCTGGAATGTTAAGCCTGATTGACAGGACTCACTCAGCAAGGGGGCGAGGGGGAAGGGAGAGAGGTACAGGCACACCTGGGAGGTGACTTGGAAGTCTAAAATGGGACATTACAGCACACCGCAACACCAGGGCAAGCGCTACGTGCTGACCATGGTGGAAGCCGCCACCGGATGGTTGGAAACCCACCCTGTGTCTCATGCTGCAGCCCGATTGGTAAATGACACAAAACTCGGACAAGTTTTGTGGGTGCTTTATTAAGGGCTCGGGGAACTGGGGGACTCACGTCCCAAAAACCCGAGCCCCCGATTTCACATATGGGTGCTTCCCTTTTATACATGCGATTCACAGCAGGGTCTCCAAGAAACAGTTCCCCTTCCCCTTGCGTAGCCACAGTCCCCTTGCGATACATTCCTTAGTTCACAAACAAAATCATAAATCTTCTGCTTATCTCATTCTAAGAGCATTGTACGCTGCCCCCAGACAGGTTAGCATTCTTACTTTCCTGCACCAGTTTAAATATTTATTAAATCCCTAAGATTTCCTGCACTAGTTTAAATATTTATTAAATTCCTAAGACTACCTGCACTAGTTTAAATATTTATTAAATCCCTAAGAGTTCCTGCACTAGTTCAAATATTTATTAAATTCCTAAGATTTCCTGCACTAGTTTAAATATTTATTAAATTCCTAAGATTTCCTGCACTAGTTTAATCATTTATTAAATTCCTAAGAGTTCCTGCACTAGTTAAAATATTTATTAAATTCCTAAGAGTTCCTGCACTAGTTCAAATATTTATTAAATTCCTAAGACTACCTGCTAGGTCACACACAAAACCCAACACACACACACTATCAACGGCTACAAAACTGCTTTTAACGAACCGATTCACACACAACTCATAACTAAACTATAACTACGCATTTTGCTAAATTTCATTTTCTTTTCCAACAATGCCACAGCCCGGAACACCATCCCGGGCCTGGAAAAGCGAGTTCCGTGGAGACATGGCGCCCCTGAGAGGATCGAGTCGGACAACGGGACTCATTTCAAGAACAGCCTTACCAACACCTGGGCTAGGGAACATGGCATTGAGTGGGTGTACCATATCCCCTACCACGCACCAGCTGCAGGGAAAGTGGAGAGGTACAATGGATTACTAAAAGCTTTGGGTGGGGGATCTTTCAAGAATTGGGAGCAGCATTTGGCAAAGGCCGCCTGGTTAGTCAACACCCGAGGTTCCACCAACCGAGCAGGTCCTGCCCAGTCTGAGTCCCTGGATGGAATAGAAGGAGACAAAGTCCCAGTTGTCCCTTCCTCGGCTGTTTTATGGCCTGGAAAGGCTCGGGGATGGCCTTGGGCAGCCCGCGCTCCAAAGGACGAGAAGAGGCTTCAGGTCTTTCTCGGACTTCAGTGTTTATTGGTTGTTTATCTAAAAGATTTTTCTCTCTGCCCGACAGAGGTCCGCACAGCAAGCCGGCCACGTGCACACCGCGAGCCCCCGGGGCGGTCACTTATCTTTATACTCAAAATTACTCAAATCCTCCCATTCTCATACAGGTGCACACTACTCTAATTAACTTATCCCTTCACCATTTATCCCCGTGAAATCCTCCCATCCTCATACAGGTGCACACTACTCTAATTAACTTATCCCTTCACCATTTATCCCCGTGAAATCCTCCCCTCCTCATACAGGTGCACACCGCGAGCCCCCGGGGCGGTCACTTATCTTTATACTCAAAATTACGTATACAATATTTACCTATTCTTTCCAATACCTTTCACCCTTATTGACCGGTGCACTTTTAGTAATAACCAATCCCAATGTGCCACCGCCACCACAGAAGATGGAGGCCAAGAAGAAGAAGAAGAAGAAGAAGGACAGGACACGCCCCAATTCCTCCATCTTACTTCTCTAGACCCCCCTGTACAGAAATCCTAAACCCTGTGTTTTACACTCTAATTAACTCATCCCTTCACCATTTACCCCGGTGAAATCCTCCCGTCCTCATACAGGTGTCGTCTCCCGTGCAGGATCAAAGTCCAGCCACCAGACGCTTCTGGCGACATTCCAGGACCCCCGAGCCCCCCCAAGGGTGGTCTCGGTCACTCTGCACCTCAGTCCTGAGGCGCTGAGATCCCACACCGGTGGTTCATGTCAGAGATTTGTTAGGGAAGACTGCGTGGATCGATTCTGCCTCGAGTACGGACAAACCCATTCGTGGGGTTGTCTTTGCTCAGGGACCAGGTTGGACGTGGTGTGTCCCTTTTCTCGGCTGTTTTATGGCTTGGAAAGGCTCGGGGATGGCCTTGGGCAGCCCGGGCTTCAAAGGATGAAAAGAGGCCTCAAGTCTTTCTCGGACTTCGGTGTTTATTGGTTGTTTATCTAAAAGATTTCCTCTCGGCCCGACAGAGGTCCGCACAGCA